ACAGGCAATGATTTTTTTAATTAGGACTTCAGAAGTAGGGGCAATAAACACAAAATCAAGAATACATTAAACTTAAGAGTGTCTGTACAGTAAGAGAAAAGAATCAGCTGGAAAAATGGGAGAAAAGTTTTCCCAGTTATTCATCTGCAAGATGGTTAATGTAAATCTATAAAAGAATTCAAAACGTTTAATAACAACAAAAACCAACTTTAAAATAGGCAACATTCCTCCAAAGAAATATAAATTTTCAATAAATATATGAAAAATGCTCTATATAGTTAACTATCAGAGAAATGCAAGTCAAAATATGAGAGATATCCTTCATGGCAGAAGACATGTGAGTTCATGCTCTGGGCCCCATCCTGGACAGCAGGAAGACAGTGAGTTTGTACTCCTAACCTCCTCAATTACCCACCTCAGATAGCAGGGCCAGCTGGAAGAGTGTAAGACTAGTAAGAACCCCAAGACCCAGGACAAAAGCCTAGCACACACACACACACACACACACACACACACACACACACACACACACAAAAAAAAACTTGGAGGGCAAAGTAATCAGTGAGGTCAGTAATGTGGAAGCATCTAAAGCAGCAGTGAGGAGACAGCAGCTGCACACTGGAAAACTCCACCAATAGAAGACAAGTCCCAGACCCCATGTCCAGAGGCCAAGATTGGCTCCAGACCCAGCACATCTCTGGAGTGTAACATGGACATTATCACAGAAACACCAGAAGAAGGTAGGTACTTGGAATAGCTACAAAGAACCAACTACATCTGGAGGACATCCCTGAGGAAAGGACACCCACGTTTATCCTCCTGATAGTGGTAGAGCTATATATCATGGGAGATTGGCACATACAGAAGACAAAATAATGGAGAAAATGGAAAGTGGCATTATGCAGAGATAGAGTATGGCTCTAGACTCCCAGTCCACCTAAGACAGGCCTGAAACGCAACAAGATGGATGAATTTGGAAGTCAAACACTGGAACTTTCTGAGATGATAATAACAGAAGTGAAAAAAAATCAGAAAGGGCTACATTTCAAAAAGATGTTAGAGAAGACAGAAATAAAAGAATAGATGGGCTTAGGAAAAAATGCAAACAAAAAATGCCCAACCTAGGAAGGAAATGCAATCCATGAGACAGAAAAAAAAGAGATCCAAGAGATTAAATCCTCCATTCCAAAATATATGCCACAGATTGAACAAAGGGAATGATAGAATTTCAGATTCTGAAGACAGAATTGCAACCAGTGATCATGAAAAGATATCTTCAAGTTAACAAGAGACCATGAGAAATCAATCTAACAACTACAAGATGAAGTAAAGAAGAATAACACAAGATAGACTGGGCTCAATGAGACAGCTAGAGACAGCACAAATGCCATAACAATCATAAATATATATGTACCTAACATAGCAGCATCCAACAGTATAAGATAGTTATTAGTAGACATGAAATATCAAATAAGCAATGATGCAATTCTAATGGGAAATCTCAATATCCACTCTCACAGAGATAGATAAACTAGACAAAATATCAGCAATAAAGTATCAGAACTGAACCACATCCATGAAGAAATGGACTTAATAGGGATAATCCATCCCCTGAGGCCCCACACCAACAGCCCAGAGAGATCCTGTGAGCCCAGCACAAGACTGGAGAAGTCATGCCTTGAGGCCCCGCTGCCACCAGGGGAGCATTGGTGAGCCACTGCCCCATGCCTGGCCACACAGCTTCAGGAATCCTGAATTAGAGGAACCCAGGTACTGGGAATGAGCCAGAAAAAAAAGAGGAATGAGGGGAGCTTAGAAAAAAGCTGATGAATATTATCAGTGCACAATGTAAGCCTTTATGGAAATACCACAGTTGATCTAATGAATTTGTATAACCAATACGTGGTAATAATTATAATAATAAAAATAAAATTTCCCAAGAAAAAAAATATGACCAAATAGCATTGTTAGTCTGTATAAGAAAGGAGCTTTACATAACATTACTAACATTTTCACAAGCCTGAAATCCCTAGGAGTACAGGTAATTACTGACTTTACAAAGGTCTCTGAAGCACATTACACCTTTAAGAAAATCATCCAAATATTTATCAAAAATTCTAGCTAGACACTTCTCAGTCACTGTTCTCAGTACTCCACACATCAAACACACTTGGTGCACATAGGTACTGTTATTGCCCCCATTATAACATATGAGGAAAGCAAGCCACAGATAATTTACTCGTCACACACTTAACACCCAGGTAAGCTAAGAGTTTAAAAATAACTACCTCAAGTGTATAAGCATAAAATAACAAAATGAATGAAAACCAGTGAAAACTGCCAAGTTCAAGTGAACTGCTCAAGAAAATGATGTCGTCGTTGTCGTCGTTGTTGTTGTTGTTGTTGTACTATTGTTACCGTGTCAGTTGCACAAGGACTTTATCCTGCTACTCTCGTTCCATGGCAGCTTTCTCATGGGTCTATTTGGAATATGTTCCCTAGCCACCTGTTAAAAACTAATTGCCAATATATTTTTAAAGAGACCCATTTCCATTTCTTTTTTTGCACCTAGGTCCCATGGCAATAATTTACCCCTCAATTTTTCTACAGAATAAACTAGATACAATGTGTGTCACTGAAATGGATATAAAACTGCAATAAACTCTGACCAACTTTCAGACAAAATGGAGATCATATTTTAAGTAGTACAATGTTCCTCTACTCATTGATTAGTTTTTAAAGAGTATCTTACATCTTTATTAAAATCTCTTCGTCCATATCTGACTTCTCATTTCTGACACACCCTTCACAGTATCCAGAAGTGAACTCTCTGAAAACTTTTCCTGTATCAAAAAGTGAGTATATCCACAGTTCACCATTACTACTTTTTCATGAAGACATACTAATAGCTCTATCTAATGTGAATTTCTAATATTCTTTGTGGAATATTTTGATTCCTAAAAGATCATTTAGGTTTGCTTGTAAATTTTTAAGTAACCAAACAGCCATTAAATAAAAAGGATACTCTTACTCCCTTTGCAGCGTTAAACTCCATAAATAACTATCCCTGACCATTTGATTTTCTTCCAGATATTTGTGAAAAAACACATAGATAAAATTATACTATAGATAATAGACTTCAAACTACCTACGTCTAGCAAAAGATTATAATCACGCCCAAATGAGTACATATAAACTTCTAATTTTATTCCACAAAAGAAAGCCTCTTAATTTATTTAGTCGACTACACATTTGAATTTCTTTTATTATTTGCAGTGCTTTATTTTTATAGGCAATGATAAAGTTAACATCTTTGAATAATTATATACATATACTTGTGCTGTTAGTTCCATAAAATAATAATGTGAAATTTTGAATGGTGAAACAGAGAAATTCTCCAAAAACCAGGATTAGGGAATGAGAAGGGCTTGAGAAGCCTGAGCCTCCCAGATATTGGGTGACATGGCCTTGGGCCTTCAACCCTAGTGATTATGATATCAGAAATGTATGAATGAACCTGTTTGAGAATTTTCTCCAGGAAAACACCTGTCTTAAAAAGGACCTTGAGGCTCCTTAGTTTCAAGGATTCTCAGAAATACAAACACAAGATAAATGCCCAAAAGGATCCTTTATTCCAGAAAGTACTTTTCTATAAGAAACCCTACAAGCTGAATCCTCCCATAATTTCGTATAACACAGTAATATCTTTGTCCTGCAGCCTAGAGAAGCATAAATATCCAAGTTCTGATAAATATGTCTCACCATATTTTTAGAGCAACTTTAAAAAATCACTTTCAGAATTATTGGATACAGTTATACATTGTGCCTGGATATCCCTCCAAAGCCTCATGCACTCATGGGGGTTTGCCTTTTCAAAGGAGGCTGAATCTAGAGCTTGTGACTGATTCATGGTCTAATGCTTAGATTAAGGCTGTTTAGTGCTATACCCACCCTAGGGTAGGAGCCTGCACACAATATAAGAGACAAAAAGAGCTCTCTATCTATCTATCTATCTATCTCCCTCCCTCTCTCTCCCTCTTTGTTTGTTGCTTTTGCCATCTTCCACTGCCATGAACAGTTACCTCTCTGCCACATGCCACTCTGTTTTGGAGTCAATGGTTTATGGACTAAAACTTCTATAAACAGTGAATTAAATAAATCTTTATCCCTCAACTTTGGATGTCAGGTATTTTGTCTCACCAATGAGAGAGATGTAACTAAGAAAGCCATCTGTTATTTCTCTCCCAGTAGATAAAAATACAGAAAGAGTCAAGCACAGTTACACATGCTGGTAATCTCAGCTACACAAGATTTCAAGTTTAGGGCCAACCTGGACAACTTAGTTAAACCCTGTATCAAACTATAAGATGAAAAAGTTGAGGATATAGCTCACTGGCAGAGTACTTGCTTAGTACAAACAACAGAACTCAGTATTTTGAACTTTCCCAAGGTCTGATTCCTGGCACAAAGTCTAAAACAACTGCATGAAAGCAGTGATTTATTTCTGCACAGGCAGAAGATTGTTATTGGACAAAGAAAAAAAGTTAGATATTGTTACTGGACGAAGAAAAAAGTATGGAGAAGATATCCAATATGTTAAGAGGGTTACTAGAAAGCAAATCACAAAGTCATTAGGATTAGAAAAGACGTTCCTACTATAATCATAAAAAGGTTTCATGGATACAAAGAGGAATACAAACAGAGAATAAAGGAATAATTTTGAATTTGGTAAAGTCAAATGGTCATTGTACTGTTCTGAGTAGAGAGCCCTAGAAGCAAAAGTCTCCTTCCTAGTAGAGAATCTACAAACATATTTTGTGAAGAATCAGACTGAGACCAACAGACATTCTGTTTGGGTCAGATTGGACAGAAGACTTTACCATAAAGAAAGGAGATTTGAAGGGAAATCTACAACCTCTACCCAACATTCTGGAATGCTACTCTCCCATTCTCATCATGTATTTCTCTCTTTCACAGCTTCACAGGCATAGAAGTCAGCAATGAAAAATCTAACTGAATTCATCCTATTGGGACTAACAGATATCCCAGAACTTCAAACTGTCATTTTCCTTTTTCTCTTTTTTACATACTTGTTAAGTATTTTAGGTAATCTGACCATCATTGTCCTCACATTACTGGATTCTCACCTCCAAACTCCCATGTATTTCTTCCTTCGTAATTTCTCCTTCTTGGAAATTTTCTTTACGTCCACTTTTACTCCTAGAATACTGTTCAGCATCTTAACTGGGAATAAAACTATCAGCTTTGCTGGATGCTTCACTCAGTATTTCTTTGCCATCTTCTTTGGGGCCACTGAGTTTTACCTTCTGACTGCTATGTCCTATGACCGCTATGTGGCAATCTGTAAACCACTGTATTACGCAACCATCATGAACCACAAGGCTTGTATACAGCTGGTGCTCTGGTCTTGGCTATGTGGATTCTTGATCATCTTGTTTCCAATCATCCCAACCACTCAGCTAAAGTTCTGTGCATCCAATGTGCTAAATCATTATTATTGTGACTATGGACCCCTCATGGAAATATCTTGTTCAGACACAAGTCTACTGGAACTGTTTGACTTTATTTTAGCAGTTTTGATCTTAGTGACCACCCTAGTACTGGTTATTCTTTCCTACACAAACATAATCAAAACTATTCTGAAGATTCCTTCTGCTCAGAAAAGGAAGAAGGCTTTTTCTACATGTTCTTCTCACATGATTGTCATTTCCCTCTCTTATGGAAGCTGCATCTTCATGTACATAAAGCCTTCAGCTAAAGAAGGAGTTGCCTTCAATAAGGGAGTAGCTGTGCTCAACAACTCAGTTGCCCCTTTACTGAATCCATTCATTTATACTCTAAGGAACAAACAAGTAAAACAAGCCTTCAAGGAAATGACTAGGAAAATGTTGCATCTGTATTCATGTTAGTGACCTCAAAAGGAACAAAAATCTTGAAAGATGTTTGTGATATTTTGTTCGGGTGACATTTCATATAAACTGAATGTGTGCATATATCAAAAATTTGTTTCAAATTTCCTGGCAAGGAGTTGAAAACAGCTCCTAAGAGAAGCATTTAGTGCAGTGATGATGAGCCTTTTAGAGACTAAGTACCCAAACTGCAAACCAAAATCCACTTATTTACCACAAAGTGTCAGCACTGTAATTAAACCTGAATACTGAGGTTTTAGAAAATTAATGCATTCATTAATGTGTTTTGTCTTAAAAGAAAAACAAATAATGCATGAGTTCACTACCCTTGATCTAGTGCCTTGTGAAGTAAATACATCTGATACATCTTCTAGGTGGTAGCCATATCTGCAAGTCCAACACTGTTTTTCCATTACAAGAGATAAATCTTTTTATGATACTGTATATGTTCTCTGGCTCTCACAACTGGATTTTAACTGCCTGTTACATATCTTCAAACTCTTATTTTCCCTGTTTATGTCATCACCTCACTTTATAAGTAACTATTCAATCATATTATCTTTGTAAGCATTTATTCTGATATATTTTGCAAAGGTCAACTTCATTATATTTGCCACTACATTCTCCTACATTAAGATATTGTCCTTTTAAACAACAGTGAAATCTTTAACTGTTGAGACACCACACCACACACAAGCTAGTACCAATTGACCATTAAGGGATTTTTAAGACTTTAAATCACTGAAATTATTGATAGAATCATCAGAAACTAAATTAAACTCAACTAGATGAAATTTTAATTCACTGAATACAAAGTGAAATATATCCCTATTTTAGGATGTAATACTGTTTATCTGAGTCCTAAGTATTTTTCTACACTTGGTGTTCTACATCAAATTGTAAAAACTGCAAGATTCACAAAACGCAGTAGTGGTCAGCCCATTAGCAAAACATAAGACATTAAATATAAGTAGCTTGGATATGACACAAATACTGGAATTATCAGACAGAAACTATAAAACAATTGTAATTACTATACCCATAAAATACCCTTGCCCATGATAATACCCTTGATAATACCCATGAAAGTTCAAGAACACCCATAGAAAGACAAAAAGTCTTTTTAAAAATATAATGGAATGCTAGAAGTAGAATACTCAGTAACAGAAATTTAAAATTTCTGCAATAGAGTCATAAGTTTACTGGACACAATTGAGAAAGAATTAATGTATGGTAATATGGGTAATCAGAAATTATCCAAATTAAGTGCACATTTAAAAAGAGAAGTTAGAAAAAGCAGAACCATTCCAGAGTAATGAGACAACAAACACCAAACACTCAAAAATACACACAATGCAAGTCCCATAAAAAGAGAGCAAGTATGAGAGGAAAAGAAATATTTGAAATATTTTAGTTGAACAACAAATGGCAGGTCCAAAGAACTCAGAAAACTCAAAGAAGGGTAGGAGGAAATACATCACACACACACACACACACACACACACACACACACACACACACACACTCAGACATATTATATAGTAAAGATGATGACAGCCAAGAATACAGATAACATGCTAATGTCATTTGAAGAGAGAAAAAGGAAATTACAAAGGAACAAATATAAGCATCTCAACAGATTTCTCAAAAGAAATTTTATAAGCCAGAAGACAGTAGATTAGCAATTTTTAAAATATAGTAAGGAATTATTCTGCTTGAAGGAAGACAGGGAATTGACTGATAATTCTAGAACCAGAGAAACATATTTCAAAATCAAGGCAAAATAAAGACTTTCAAAGCAAACAAAAACTGGGAGAGTATGCTGACCACAAATCTATGCTACAAGAAATTGTAAAGGAAAGCCTTCAGTAGAAGAAACATGACAGATGACACCAGACAAAATGATAAAAATGAAAATGAATATAAAGACAGTATCTTATTTTTAATAATCTTTTTTGCCTAGAGAAATAAATGCATTGGTATATTAGAGAAGAAAAGTGCTTTTTATTTTCTCATTTAAGAGCGTGTATCCATTTCATGACGGGCAAAAACTGATGAACTGATGGCAAGCCTCTTCTTATTTTAGGAATCACTGAGGGCTTCTATGGCAAAACTGCAGGACCTGGAAGTGCCAAGGTCAAGAATTCTGAGCATTGCCTTTTGGGCATATTTGTATGGGAGCTGAAGAAGTCCCGTGAACTTTTTGTACCTTTCAGTTTTTACTTTCTTAAAGGACATAACTCTACTAGCAGGCAGCAGGAATACATGAGCAGAACTAACAGAAGGTGGGCTTTTTGGTTTCGGAACTGGGATTTTCTTCTTTATCTACTTGCCTCACTGATATGAATAAATAATATGAGGAATATGAGGGAAGAGCTTATATTTTCTCTTGGGTCATATCATATTATAACCTGAACAATTATTCTGCTTGGAAATGCCATAATTTCAGGTGTCCTTGTCAGGCTATCCTCTGTCCTGACTCAAAGAGACTTTTCTTCCTCCTTTGAATTAGTGAGCCATCATGATGAGCTCAGTTCTTTTGTGCTTCAGCTACTTCTGGAATGGACTCCAGCACAACTCTCCCTGGAAGTTCAGGCACTGGTGAGTTCATGGTTGGCAAAGAATTCTCTTCTAGAACTTCTTGCAATGAAATATTTTTCCTTTTGGTGTACCACAGTTTCATTCCAAACTCCTCAAGTCTATTTCTTCAAAGTATTTTCTCTTAGCAGTTACAACTTCCCCTGTGCGCTCTCTCTCTCTCTCTCTCTCTCTCTCTCTCTCTCTCTCTCTCTCTCTCTCTTCCAAGACCTACAAACTTCCATAGGAATCAGTAGGACCCCACTTCAAGGTAGCTTCTTGCACCACATTTGCAAAGGGTTTCAAACATGGTTGATATGAGAATCCCCACAGGATCTCCCCTAGTTGTGAAGTATCCCACATGGTACAGCTCTCAACAAAAGTATGTTCCTCACTTTCCTCTGATTCCAAATCCCTGTAACTTCACATTTTTCTATCTTTTTTTTATTTTTAAAACAAAAAAAAGAATAAGAACCACAATAGAGAATTTCAAAATAAAAGAAAACAAAAGGGAAATAAAGTGCTCAAAAGGAAAGAACAACTGGGGTAGGGGAAAGGAGAAAAGAAAGAAGGTAGGTAACTATACTACTAATCTGTTAGTTCATTAAAAAGCACAGTTTGTGCTTTCATTGTTTGTTTGATCGTTTTCTTCATATGCCTAAATCTTATAATCTGAAAAAGTACTTTGAAGCTAACAATGTGCAATATATTAACCAGTGTAATAAATCAGACTTGCATGTGTAAATACCTCATTGTCTTCCTAAAAAACCTGAAAGAGTAAATAAGATTCAAAATGCCCAATAGATATGACAAACATTTTTCTATCTTTCTTTACTCTTAGAAGTTACAACACCTCATGACAGAATGCCCAAGAAATGTTTTCTGATGCTTTCAACTCACCAGCCATCATTGTTGGCCACTCTTTTAGAAAGATAAACACATCATTGCTTTGATTCTCTCCCATTGGCTCTCTGCTAGTTTAGTCACCACAGAAAAAAGTCTCTGGTACAACAGTTGCAACCACTTGGACAAAGGTTACATGACCTTCTTTCACTCTCCTGTTACCAGGCTTTGGGATGCCAGAGTCTCCACCTAGAGGTGGTTTTTAAATTCTTTCTGTCCTGAATGAACAATTGGTCAACACTTTTACATCTTCTTGACCTAGCTTTGGTACTTCATATGTTTCTAGGCATCTGTCTATTTCTTCTGTTATCAAACCTTTGAAAGTAGAAGTTTTCAAAATAGGTGTTGATGATCTTCTGTATTTCTATAGTCTGTAGTGATTTAGCCTTTCTCATAGATCTTGGAAACAATCCAAGTGTCCATCAACTGAGGAATGGATAAAAAAGTTGTGGTATTTTTATACAATGGAGTATTACTCAGCTATAAAGGAGGATCACATTGAAATATTTATAAATAAATGGCCACAGCTTGAGACCATACTTATAAGTGAAATAAATCAAACTCACATGTATGAATACCGAATAGTTTCCCTACTGTAAGAAATGATTCAAATATATAAATGTATGTGGTAATCATGATTCCCCATTATGTGGCTTTGAAGCCTTATAAAGTTTTCACTCGTTAATTGGAATGGTTTTATTCTGGGCTGTTTGATATTATTGTATGTGGTGATATTAACAGCTATTTTGAAGAAAACAAGAAATTATAATAGCTAGTGCTGATTTAATATCATCTTGTTTTGAAGTCCCATCAAACTGTTGTTCTTCTGTCTCCATTGGTTTTATGTGATACTATAAACAAAAATTTTATAGGCAAAGAGATAATATAGAAACCATTGTTCATTTAACATTAGCTGGTTCTAAATACCCTGTAATACTTTCATCATCTTGAATGGTTTCACACTGTCTTGATATGTTTGATGCTATAGTATATGAAGTTATACTCAAATATTTTAAGGAAGGAGACACTATGGTAACTACTAAGTCAGATTATCTTGTGGTGAAACACTATGTTGCTTAAATTGTTCTGTTCTGACCTGTAATGTTATGTTGTTATGTCCTCTTTTTTCTCAATCTCCCCCTTTTTTAACAAATTTATTTATTATTTTTAATTAAGGGAAAAAAAATCAAAAAAATTAGCAGGATATACTATAATAACCTTTTTGATTTCCTATTAACTTGATTTGAAGCTCTGTATTGCTCTCACCATCTTGTTTTCAATAATTTTACTCTATTCTGTTCTGTTTGATAGTATCAAGTTTGAAGGTATAGGCAACTACTTTGAAGGCAATAAGATTCACTATGATGCCCATTCTGGTTTGACTATTATCTTCTTTTGAAGTCCTGTAATGTTTCCAGTGTTTAGGTTTTATTGGTCTTGTTCTGTACTGTTTTGTTCAATTTTATTATACCTAATGATATAGGCAATTCTTTTTAAGGTAACAAAAGGCGTTATGGTAA